CACCCACATGTTCGACCATTCCTTCTTCTTCTCAAACTGCTCCCCTAGAATCCTCGACCATTCTTTCTTCCTCAATGCCTGACGCACCCAAATCTTTGACCATTCCTTCTTCTTCTAAGCCTAACGCGCCCAAATCTTCAACCAAAACCTCCTCTAAACCTCCCTCTTCTATCTCCCGTACAATTGGGTGGCTAAAGCGTGACAAGGTCGATCATCCTTCTGGTTGGGAGTTCTATTGCCCTTCTTCTTCCGACACCTACAACAATCCCCCTTCTGACTACTACACCTTCTTCAAGATCCAGTTCAACCTCGGCATCCGCTTCCCTCTAAGCCCTGAGCTACTCCAAATTTGCGAGTGGTTCGGGCTTCCCTTAAACCAACTTTCTCCTAACGCCATCCGCTTCATGACCTCCTTCATCATTCTATGCCATGTCCGTCTATGTCGATTCAACCTAGCTTTTTTCCACTACTACTACGCCCACTCCAAACAGGCCCGAGGCCTTTACCTAAAAAGTCGCAATAACGCCCATTTCATCTCGGACGTCCCCTCCAACATCCCCAAGTGGACACATAATTTTGTCTATGTCAAGCCTGATACCCCTTTTCCTTGGGCGGCTTCTCCTTGGCTCAAGGAACTTCCTCGTGAGATCTCGAACCCATCTCCTAACCCTCTTTTCGACCAACGAATTCATGTTTGGAATTCCAAGCCCGTTGCGTCGGGAATTCTTCTTAAAGACGCCAGCCTTCTCCACTATTGCGGTCTTCTCACCCACAAAACCTTCTCTCCTCCCACTGAAAAAGTCCTTGATCTGATTAGGATTAAGGATGATCCAGGTAATTTTCGACCAGTTTGCTCAAGTATTCATATATTTCGAGTATGTATTGTAAATATTGACTTTAATTTTTCTATTGTCGTCATGTAGAGATGCCCAGCTTCCAAATTCCTCTAAGGAAAACTCCTCTGGAGAAAAAGTCCGGCCTCGCGTCCACCTCTGGATCGGCCAGGAATCAGGCCGATCAGGTCGAGGATTCGACCATCTCTTCTCATCCCCAACCGCAGCAACAACAGCAACCACAGCAACAGCAACAACAAAAACGACCACAACAGCTCCAACAACAATAGCAGCAACAACAACAACCACAACAGCCACAACAACAACAACAGCAACAACAACAACCACAACAGCCGCAACAACAACAACAAAAGCGCCAACAACATCAACAGCAACAACAACGGCAACGACAGGCTCCACCACCTTCTCTCGAAAAAACTCCGCAACAAAAATCAGCCTCTACTTCGACCACCACAACCACGACAAAACCCTCAACCGCTTCCCAAACCAGCGATAGCCAAACTACATCTCAAAAGGCTGACCCTCAAACTACCAATCCCAAAGTCACCGCTCAACACAAAACCCCTGCTCAAAACAAACCACCTCCTCCTGACCAATCTTCCTCCAAAAATCCTTCTACTGGATCGACCAAAATCATGGTCGGGTCTAGTGTCCAAGATGCCTCTAAGCGTGACGTAGCTCAGGGGAAGCATCCCCGCACTGAGCAGTTGGAGGGACTCATGAAAAACGCATGCGCACCGGCCAAACTACTGACACCCTGGCCCCGAGGTCCTCCTCTTTGCTCACGGCCTCGGTGAATGAGATAGTTGCTTGCCTCGAGGGTGCACTCCTCGAGGACGACCGCAAAAGCGATGGCGTCACTCTACTAGAACTTGGCGACCAGCTTGTACAATGGTGTGCCCAGGTACTGCTCGTCCCATACTTGCTCTGATCTCTTCTACCATGTTTTCTTGCTATATGTGCTGAACTTTTATGTTCCCTTTGATTATAGGGATTGGTTAAATTTCTACCTCTGGCCAATGATGCTCGAGACAGCTCTGGTAAATCCATAAGAAAGCTTGAGAATGTCCTCGGTGTCCTGCAGGATAAGAACTCATCCCTCCTGCACTCATCTCTGATTTCAGGCCTATTGCACTCTACAATGTTATCTATAAAATTATATCTAAATCATTGCAAACAGGCTGAAATTAGTGTTGAGCCCTTGCATTCATGATTCTCGGGCAGCTTTTGTGCCTGGGAGACAAATTCTTGATAATGTAGTGTTGGCTAATGAATGTCTTCATTACACTAACAACAAAAGAAAAGGATCTAAATGTCTAATGGCTGTCAAATTGGACATGGCCAAAGCATATGACAGAGTAGAATGACCTTTTTTTATTATAGTTTATAGGAAGATGGATTTTGCTGATATTTTTTTGTCCTGATTGTTGGCTTGTCTTAGTACAGTAACTTATTCCTTCAATTTAAATGGCCAGCCTCTAGGTTTTGTGAAACCCTCTAGGGGTATTAGACATGGAGATCCCATCTATCCCTACTTGTTCATTATTTTGTCAGAGGCTCTATCAAATTTGATTCACCAAGCTTGTTCCATGTCTCTTTATTCTGGTCTTAAAATCAGTAGGTTTTCTCCCCCTATGTCTCATCTTTTGTTTGCAGATGGCACTATCTTGTTCTGTCATGCTGATGATTAGCATGTTGAGCTCATTTTTGTATTTTCTAAATTGCTATGGTTCTGCCTCTAGGCAATGTGTTAATATGCATATGGTCTTTTCTCTTTGAATACCCCTGACTGTTCCAAAATGAGAACATGTAACTTACTGAATGGTATTCTTTGTGTGAGATCTGCCAAATATTTAGGGCTTCCTCTAGGTATTGGTAGGTCTAAGACAGAAACCTTCAAATATGTTCATGAATGTGTTCTTAACAGGCTTTCATGTTGGACTAATAATTTTCTTAGCACTGGGAGGGAGGTCCTCATCAAGTTAGTCCTTGAAGCCCTCCCCACATATGTGATGTCTTGTTTCCAATTACATGTAAGTATCTGCAAAGATATTAGCAGAGCAGTGGGTGACTTTTGGTGGGGTTCTAATGATCAGGGGAAGAACAAAACCCACTGGGCTAGATGGGAGTCTTTGGCTAAACTTAAGGAATGGGGTGGGTTGGGGTTTAGGAAATTGAAACTTTTCAATGTTGCCTCACTGGTTAAACAACTATGGACAATCCTGATTCATCCTAATTTGTTAATCCGTAAGGTTCTTAGAGGAAAATATTTTTATAGAGGTAGCTTGATATATGTGAAACTTAAGAGTGGGGATTCTTGGTTGTGGAAGAGCTGGGTGGGAGTTTTAAGTTTTCTGAAATTGGGCATTAGATTTCAAGTGGGAAATGAACAAAACATCTCTCTATGGGAGCATTCTTGGCTCCCTAGAGAGTTGAATCCCATACTTACTTGTGTTTTTGCTCAGGATAGAATTACTCTTAGGTGGGTGAGTGATCTTGTGAATCATGAGAGAGGGGGGTGGGACAGAGAGTTAGTGAAGCAAACTTTCATATCTGAGGAAGTTGAACATATAATTAAGATTCCCATTTCTTTATTGGGGAAAAATGATAAACTAATCTGGTTATTTGGGAAGTAAGGCAATTTTAGTGTAAAATCAGCTTATGAGGCATTTGTGACTCAGTTCTAGTTGAGTAAGGGAATTGCTAGCTATAACAGGGTAGAAGTGGAGAATAAAGTGTGGAAGATTACTTGGAATCTTCCAGTAAAATCCAAAATCAAACACTTCCACTGGAAATGCTGGTTTAGGTATTTGCATACCAATGATCAGTTGCTCAAGAGGAATTTGACAAAAGACAACACTTACTATATCTGTGGTTTGGAAGCTGAGGACATTGACCACATCCTATACAACAGATCTAGAGCTAGATTTGTCTGGAAGTTGAGTGGAGTGAACTGGGACTGTCTCAGTATGCAGAACATCTCTTTCAAAGACTGGTGGAGTCAGATTTGTAGTGCCCCTCAAGTGAAAAGTCTTAGAGATAGAGCTAGCATTTCTTCCTATATTCTATGGTGGCTCTGGAAGACAGGGAATATTTGGACTTCTCAAAAAATAAGAGTGTGAGAAGCAAATTGCAGGGGAGCAAGAGAAGAATGGCTAGAGTACTTAGTTGCTCAGTGTAAGAGCCTCAGGAGTCCCATACCAAGCTCTCTGAATCCAATTGATCAAGATGAGGAATCGTCCCAGAAGGTAGGACATTGGATTCTCAATGTCAGTGCCTTAACTTCTTTTGAGAATCAAATGAAGATGGTATGTGTTGCTGAAATGGATGTAGAGGAAAATTTTCAGTGGACAGAAAAGACCTGGTATAATGGTTGTGTGGAAAGAAAGGAGATGACAGTTGCAAGATTGGCTATGATGAATGCTATGCAAAATGGTTGGCAACAATGAAGATGCCGACTTCATAACAAAGGTGTGGTCATGAAACTTAACAGGAAAGAGATGGAGTTTAACCATTGTTGCAGCTCTATTGCAAAAGATATATTGGAGTTGTTTTCTTCTCTCTCTTCATTCAGTTTTATGCACGGTTTGTAATGTTATATGAATTGCGATTTTATTGGTGTATTGAAGAGGTGCGTGTTGACTCCTCTGTGATGTTAATGCTATCATTTGGTAGCTCGAATGTAAAAACGTTATTGAGTTCAATGAAAGTTTATTGCCTTTGAAAAAAAAAAAAAAAAAAA